CTGCAGCTTTGGTTTTAAGTTTACACCATGAAGGAAAATCCAAAATAATTAAAATTAATAGGTTTTTTTGAAGAAACTATTTAATCATTTAGTCATAGAAATAAAATGAAAGTCATTCAAGAATTATTTCAGAATAGATGAGAGAATATTTAATATGAAGAAAGAAAGGAGATAGTATCGCTCTGGAAAGCGATCTGGAAGAACTAAATGGGGCAATACTTGAGGCATATGAATCAAGCTGCCCCATTCAAAGAAATATAACTAGTAGGGATGTTCCTTGGTGGAACCGTCATCTGTCAAACTTACGATCCGAAGTGCGGAAGCTCTATAATAGGGCCAAGCACAGCGGAGATTGGCAGAGCTACACCGAGGCTCTTACTACAACAAAGAAATCAGGAAAGCTAAACGTAACAGCTTTAGAAAATTCTGCGAGGATATTAACTCTACACCTGCGGCAGCGAGACTGCACAGGGCCCTGGCAAAAGGGAGAGTTGATACAGTTATGGCATTAAAGAAACCAAATGGAAGCTTCACGGAGAGTGAGGAGGAAAGAGCTCGCCTCTTACTCGAAACTCACTTTCCTGGAAGCACACCTTTTCTAATAAGGGACACAACTAAGGTAAGCAAACCCCCAAGAGCGGTCGCTGCAGTGGCCAAACACATATGCAGCAAAAATTGGTTAAGGTGGGCCGTAAACACTTTTGAACCGTTTAAGTCTCCAGGTGTGGATGGAATATTTCCTGCCTGCTTCAGCAGGCACAGGAGGAATTACTACCGCATATAATCCGGCTATCCCGGAGCAGCCTGGAGCTGGGATATATACCAGAAGCATGGAGAAGGTCCAGAGTCACCTTTATTCCAAAAGTAGAGAAAAAGGATACCACACATCCTAAATCTTTCCGTCCAATCAGCCTCACATCCTTTGTATTAAAAACAATAGAGAAGGCTGTTGATAATTATATTAGAACAGAAGTCCTGGAGAGGATGCCACTCCACCACAGCCAACACGCGTACCGAGCAGGAATATCTACAGAAACTGCTCTGGTACTTGACTGATGTAATCCAGGATGCACTGACAAACAAAGAAACGGTCGTGTGTGCCTTCTTAGACATAGAAGGAGCTTTTGACAAAACGCCACAAGAATCTGTAAAAAGAGCACTTGCATACAGAGGAGTAGATAACATCACATCCAGATGGATGGCTCAGCTGTTATCTACGAGAACTGCAGAGACACATATAGGGCAGGACACCATCTCCATCCGCACAACCAGAGGATGTCCACAAGGAGGAGTTCTATCCCCACTAATGTGGAGCCTAATCGTAGACGAACTTCTATGCAGATTGACCTCAGCATACCCTGTCAAGGTTATGCCGACGACATAGTCATATTTGCTAGTGGTAAGTTTAGTAATATCCTGTGTGATATAGTCCAACGAGGACTAGAACATACCAAAAGATGATGCCGTGAAGTGGGACTTAGTATAAACCCTACAAAAACAACACTAGTAGCCTTTTCAAGGAAAAGAAAACAATCTCAAAACCGTTAAATTAGACGGGATAGATATAGAATGGAAAAATGAAGTCAAATATCTAGGCCTAACCCTGGACAACAAACTTCTCTGGAACACACATGAGAAGGAAGTAGTAAATAAGGCCACAAAAGCCCTAATGGTATGCAGACACATTGCAGGTAAACGATGGGGATGTAACCCAAACATACTGCGATGGATGTATACTGCAATAGTGAGACCAATCATCACTTACGGGGCTATAGCCTGGAGTAACAGAACTAGTTTAGCTACTACGATAGCTAATATCTCAAAAGTACAAAGACTAGCCTGTGTTTGCATTACTGGTGCAATTAGAACCTGTCTTACGGCCGCAATGGATGTGATCTTAAACCTCACCCCTCTACATTTGATGATGAAGAATGTGGCAAAAAGGACACGATATAGAATGATCAGGAACGGAGTAATCAGTCTACTTGCTTCAGGATGAAATGCAAAAGAAGTACAGTTTTGTGAAAAACTTCAAAACCACAGAGCTGGGCTGCAAGAAAGAATGGAGCCAAGAATACATCGCGCTTGCAACCAAAAGACGTGCTATTCAGTGGTATACGGACGGTTCCAAAACCATTGAAGGAACTGGAATAGGAGTGTATGGGCCGAGAACCAAGCACTCCGAAAGCTTGGGAAAATACCCAAGCATCTTCCAGGCGGAAATTCACGTCATCGAGAAGTGTATCCAGTTTAACATCGAGAGAAACTATCATAGACAAGAGATTATCATCATGTCCGGTAGTCAAGCAGCTATCAAAGCGCGGAGCTCTTACGTAATCAGCTCAAAAATGGTCTGGAGATGCCTAGAACAATTGAATGAGCTAGGCGAGAAAAATAGAGTTACTCTCACTTGGGTCCCGGGACATAACGGGGTACAGGGTAACGAGATTGCAGATAGTCTTGCAAGGAAAGGGGCTCAAACACCCTTTGTAGGACCTGAGCCGTCCTGCGGTATCAGCAGTAACATAATATTAGGAGAGATTAAAAAAGAATTGGGCAGTAGAAGAACCGATAATTGGAACAATCTCTTGGGGCTGAGACAGGCCAAGATACTTCTGGGTGAATATAACCAGAAAAGATCGGAAGCCTGCATCTGCTTGAGCAAGAACAGGCTACGTATTGTAACAGGATCCTAACCGGGCATTGCCGACTAAAAGGACACCTAAGTAAACTGAGAGTAGTAGAGGATAGTGAGTGCAGATTATGTGAAGAGGAGGACGAAACCTCCATTCACATCCTAACTGAATGTGTAGCACTCCAGAATCCAAAAGCACTATATCTAGGAGGATATCAAATAGAAGAGGAAGATTTACCTAACTTGAAGCCACTTCAAATCCTACACTTCTTTGAGAAAATAGGATTGTAAGGGTCGCTATAGGCATTGAGACATTTCCTGAGTGCAGTGGCGACATAGGGGGCACAATAGATCTTTTAGGTCGCAGTGTTTTAACACCCCATTCTCAACATAACATAACATCGCTTAAAGATCTTAAAACTGAAGTATTCATTTGCAATAGTGAAATGAAATTCAGGAAGCCTTTAAGGTGAAAACAAACCAAAGAAAAATTAAAAAATGTTGAAAGAAAAATGTGCTTAAGCCTGGGATCGAACCTGAATCTTTTAATTTACTCCTCGATACGTTTACTAATTAGGGCATCGGATCACATAGCAACGACGGATGAATTGGCCACTTCAGTGAGGAAGCGAGGATTGTGAGAGCTGAAGGAGGGAGACTCTGTGTACTGATTAGTTATTTTGGACTAAATCGATGGACTGTACAGTTTAATCTCACAAAAATTGTAGCGTGAAGGGTCCCTATATATTTTGGGCCGACTTTTGTATTTCTGGGTTTTCAACTGTTTTTAGATGTATTATATCATTATAATGAATTCAACAAGATTAAAACACTTATAAACAACTTGCCTTCAAATGAATACAAATCTACGAAATGCAAGAAAACATTACGGTAAAAGGTTGTTTTCAGATTTTTAGAATAAAAAGCCACCATTTTTACATGTCGTCTCTAATATTTGTGCATTTCATTTTTAATAAGTATTTTACGGTTATTCCTTTTAAGAAAATGATTAACGACTCCGTTTTGATTTGGATGTGCAACTTATAACTCAGCAATATATTGCAATTTGCTGGGGCTTTTCGCAAATATCATTTTTAATAATAAACATGGTCACAGTTTTATCATACATTATAAGAAATAAACAAATTTAATTCTCACAAACAAGAAAATTTCGAATTAATAAAAATTACTATCGGTGACAACAGACAACACATCAAGGCCAATTCCGTTACTGTTGGCAACACTGAAGAAAGTCCTAATTATTAGGCATTCCAACGACCTGTCGAAATGCTGCTCGTGGGTTATGATTAGGGGTGGGCAAAATACTCGATTACTACAAACAAATCTACAAATTTAAACAAAATCGTCAGAAGAGTGTTTGGGATATTAATGAGAAAACGAATAAAAAAATTATAACCCTTCATTTAAAAAATCATTTTAGAGCACAACATTTACATGAAATTTTAAAAATAAAATAAACAAACCTACAAAGTTTATTCAAAATTCTCAAAAGAGTGTTTGTGATATTAATGAAAAACCGATTAAAAAAATTAGACTGCATCTCAGAAGTACCTCCGTCAATATTGACATGCCATTTAGGAACATATTACTGTCAGAAGAAAATCTGACTCGCTGTCACTACTTGAATTACTTTCATCTAAACCCTAAAGAAATAATTAGTGGGTTGACTTCATACCACATACCACTATTATTAAAGTATATAAAATCTGTTTGAATTTCTCTGTTGAATTATTCGTCTTCTATTCTGATAACATGGTCACATCTTTTCTTCCACTCTTTGCATCAATTTTATTGAACTCTTCTTCCGCTATTTTATTGACGTCATCTATTTTAAATGCAAAATTTCTTTGACTATTGTTATTTTTAACAATGGCCTATATAAGTTTAATAGGTTTCAGATTTGGGTAGTGTGCCGTAAACAGGTAACGGTAAAAAAGTGTAGGAGATTGTTGCTCTCTCACAGTAAATAACGAGTGCTGTAATATCCGATTACAATAAGAATAACATATTATAACTAGTATTTCGAATTTGCAATATATATCATCTATAACTATCAATAAATAAGGAATATGTAAATTGTTGGGTTTAAAAAATATTATTTTTATAATATTTACACGCCACTAAACCACCAGTAGGCTGCGATAGCCAACGAATTACTCCGACAATTGATGACGTAGCTGTGTTAATCTTATTGTAATCGTACCCTACTTTTAGTGATGTAAATAAGAGTGATTTTTATGTGAAACACCATGCATTCTCCATAATGTTGATTCATACCGTAAAAACTTGATCAAAACTATTCTCGCGAACCAGACAAATCGAAATAAATTAAAAAACGACTTACTTGATATAAAGAATTCCCAGTGACGTACGAATTTATATAGTGAGATCCATATTTCCTGATGAACATAAGCACACTACCCACGTCACCAATTTTAATATTGTTAATTTCTCTGGCTACAACGTCAGCCAGGTTTATATTGTTCGGGATTCTGTCGAGTTTTATGACATCACGAAACCTCGACAACCGCACTAACACGTAACAGTGTTCTTTGAGCACGAAAGATGAATTAATTCCTAGGTTTTTCGCCAACGTTTCCGGCGCCCATGACGCTGTGAACGCGCTCCAAGGTTTGTCCAACCTAAAAAAAAATAAGCACAATTTAATTTTGTTATTTTAAATGGGCCCATGTAATGTTGAATTTTTGGTCTCCTAATTTAAGAAGATCAAATAAACGCTTTTTCATACATCTATAATTAAAAATCAATAAAAAGATTCCACGTCAAATATTAAAAATAAAATGTTTAATTTTTTGTCACATAATAGACTGATCTAGTGATTTTTTAAAATATTTTTGTCTTATTTTGGACTAACATAACATAGCTGGTCAGCCGACTCTGAGCCTGCAATTAATTCTTAAAATATTAGCCTGCGGTTTCTTACGAGTGGCTTGATCCATTTACCATCGGGGTAAGAGAAGCATCTAGAGACACTTCTCGACGATGTTATTAATCTGTAGTACTTTGACCTGAGATGGCTGGCTATAGTGGCTATCCTTAGACACCGCTATCGACAACTAATAGGTTTTTGACGAGTTGATAACGGGTATGAGCCAATTGAGCACCAAGCTCTAGATGTAATAAATGTAAACCGGCCAACTGAGCACCAGGCAGGCAGGTACCTTTTCAAAGCGACCCTTTTGAGACAGGCCAATTCAGCACTTTGACCTGGAACCACTTTGTAATAATAATCTCTTAATATTCTAATTTAAAGAAACTCATTAAAAGCTTAAAACCAATTTTTATTGGGAAAACCCTAGATACATTGATCCCTTTTTATTACGTAATGAAGTATAATATTATAAATGGAATACAACAATAGGATAAGAAAAAATGATGAGATCAGTTTCAGCTACAAAGTCGTTATCAAAACCTAAAATAATAAAAATAAATAAGTTAATAATCTACTCATGAAAATACTTTAAAAAATAACAAATAATGTTTAAAAACAGAAATAAGTAAAAAAAAATTTAAAATTGCACACATAAAATTAAATTTTTGTGAGTATTGTTTTTTCATTTTATATTGGTAGGTAAAAATAATTGGCGGGCAAGCGGAATGTTATTATTCTGTTGAATACAAATTTTTGCATAATTTTTGCAATATTGTAGTACCAAATTTTCAGACCTCGAAATGCAAAACATATTAATCCGTTAAAAGCTTTTACATATTATGATTTGGTTTTAAAATCATAAGCAGTTTTACATTCAATTTAAATTAAAGATAGGTACTTATTTTCATATTTGCCAATTGTAACACATTCTTAATTACCTTTGTCAAAATACAATTTTCAAAACCAATCAAAACAACATTATCTTACTTGGGTAGAAGGGGTGACTGTTGGGGTGACTTATTTATACGGCACATCCGTACAATTAAGTCTGTTCTATGTATGCTTTAATAGCTTAATTGGCTTATACCAGTTTTTATCTAAACCTTTTAACGTTCGGATAAAAAAATATTACCTATGGAGTTAGTAACTGATTTTGTTTTAAGTGAACGTGGCCAGCAAATTCTTGTTCTAAATGATAATAAATTTAGAAAACGTAAAGACCTGAAAGATGGAATAATATATTGGGTGTGTTCTGTAAAGGGCTGTAAAGCAAAATGTCATATTCGAGGTAAGTTTAATTATTTTCATTACATTTATTAAAGAAAGTGGATTATATTGGTTGTTTATTACTAAGAAATGGACAGTGGATATTTTGACAAATAGAAAAATTTTGAATCCGTTCTTGATACATCAATGATCTTAAGGACAGAGTTTTTTACTGTGTATTTGAATAGCGTTCGCATACCAAAAGTTAATTGCAACTTTTTTAATTTGAATTGAAACCTTTTTTGAATGGTCAAATCAATAATCTAATGTCTTTTCAGATTTAAAAGTCCTGGATCATTCTTTGGAACACAACCATCAAGCCAACTTGCAAAAGCTAAGTCGACAGGATATAAGTAATAGTTGCAAAAGTAAGGCCGTGCATGACATTTGCCAACGACCATCAAAAATAATGAATATGGAGATTTCGACGTCTTCGTATAAGGAAAATATAACAACTATGGATCTGGACTTCATACGGCATAATATGAATCGCAATCGATTGAACACCAACAAGTCAGCTACACCAAAAGATATACATGATGTCCAAGAAGCTCTGAATGTTATGGATTTAACAACAGATAGAAACGAACCATTTTTATTGGCCAATGATATTGAAACTAATATTGTAATTTTTGGTTGTACATCTAATATGAAATGTTTATCGCAGTGTGACACAATTTACATGGATGGAACATTTAAATATTGTACAAAATTTTTTTTTTCAATTATTTACTATTCATGGGTTGCGCAATGGACATTATATTCCTTTAAGGTTTTTTGCCTTCTTCCAAACAAACTAGGCAAAACGTATACCATTCTGTTTAATAAATTACTGATGTTATCAAATTCCATAAATATTTCTTTAAATCCTCAACAGATAGTTAGATATAGATTTCAAAAAAGCCATTCATAATTCTGCGCAATCTGTTTGGCCAAATGCAAAAATTTTTGGTGTCGATTTCATTTAGCACAAAACTGGTATAGAAAAATTCAAAACTTGGGTTTAGTAAACCTTTATAAAAGCCAATCTGAGTCAGGAAAATGGATACAACATTTATTTGGTTTACCTTTTCTCACGCCCGAAAGTGTAAGCGATTGTTTCATTAATAATTTTATGTCGGACATTCCTGATTCTAATGCCTTTTCAAGATTAGCAGATTATTTAGTTGATTTTTATATTTCGGAAACGTCTGTATTTCCTCGTTCGATATGGGCTTCCAAAACCAGTAATTTATTTTTAACAACCCACCCCTGTGAATCATTTCACTCTCATTTTTCAAAAAGTTTTTACCATACGCACCCCAATATTCACGTTTTTGTTAAATCTTATTGAATTTCAATGCTTAGTTTATATTAAAATTCAAAGTATTGATAACCCTATTGTTGTAAAAACGAAAAAAGTCAGAAATGCGGAAAAGTTTTTAAATCAGAAGATTTTGGAGCTAGATAATAAGCTATTGTCAGAATATGATTTTGTGAAGTTAGTTGCTCATAGATACAAACCATAATACTATTTACTGTAAAATTATTATTATTATTATTACTACACAGGTCTGCGAAAAAATACTTCTTAAAAATTGGTTTGACCCCATGATTTTTTTTTTAATAAATAAATGCCAACTACCATATTCTGATTTTTATTTAACCGAGAAAAATAACTGTTCGCATTAATTCAGTAGGTACCTGATAATTCGTTAATGAACAAACTAGTAATAAAGTGCGCAATTGACCAGTCATAAAGTGCTCAATTGGCCGGTCTCTGTTTGGTCCTTGGTGCTCAATTGCGTGTCCGGCTACGGTATCAATTTTACCTGAGGGTAATAAAGTGCTCAATTGGCGTCCGTCCTTGATAACCTGCAGGACTTTGATAAGCTTGGAAGATGACTGACTGTCTCTCGGCGAAAAGAGCAGAGAATCATAAGAAAATAGAAAAAATTAAAAAATGGGAAAAATAAAAAAAAAGATTTCGAAAAATTCTTTCTGAACAGTTATTTTGGCTTCACGGCACAACTCTCATTTCTGAGTTCTTTCTTTAATGTTTCCGATTTCAAGATTAACAAAAAAAACTAACCTTTCGAACGAAAAATCTCTGAAATAAGCTTGCACAAGTTGTCGAACATTGTCGCAAAACTCCATGTGGAAGTCTCCTTCGAAAACGCGTTTTTGCTTCTTGGGAACGCGTTCTGGATGGATTGCATAGCGATCTATATCTGTAAAAACGTCTATGGTGGGCTCTCTGAAGATCCATTCTGATTCGTTTTTGGCAACTACCTTTAAAAAAATAGACAATTATTTTAAAAATAATATTAGCCCTGGACCCACTGCAAATTTTGACCGTCATCTGATAATGAAATGAACAAAGAATAAAATAAAACGCTTTAATTTTGAAATAATCTTCATTAATAATTAATCTTATCAAGTTACAAATACAGTATGTGTAATACAGTTGATAAAAGTATGTTCACTGCGAAATTTGTTATTGTTTTTTAATGTTATTTTAGGTGTATATACTTCGTCTTATTTTAATTTAATTTATAGTCAATTTATTTTCAAGTTTATTCCTGTGGGAGATTAAAAAAAAAATAACTTATTCATATATAACACAAATATTATCTCCTTTCATCATCTGTTGAAAATCTGAGAATTGAATGAAACTTTTCTAAATATCTTTTTACAGTGAATGAATGAGATGTGACTTTTTCGTTACAAAAAACACAATGTCCGCCAACAATTCATTTCAGCGGCGCCCCCTACGGCGAATAACAAATCCGCCACTGCTATAACTTCTTGTAAGCACTTTTGTATATAGGTAAGTTATGTCTAATCGATCCATTTTTGTCTTTAGAATAAATCTGGTATAATTTATGCTCTATCTTTTTGTTACACCCTGTACACTTGTACTTTTTTCTTGTTTACTTACTTTCATTGATAAACTGAGATAACCGTATCTCGTGAATATATCTATCGATCTGCCGACTTTCAGTTGACTGTCTTCGTCTTGAACGGCTTGAGTTGTCGAAGTCATCAAGGCGGCCGTCACCAGCACGAGCAGTACTGCTCGGCCCCACATCTTCGCCGCCAATGGCACCTAGAACAATAGAAACATTTTAAAATTTTCGAAAGAAACGGAAAAAAAAATGAAATATTTCCTTTACATTTGAAATTACGAATTATAGTTATGGTGATTTGAAAGTATTACCATACCATACCGGGTTACAATGAGAACAGTGCAGCCCAGGGCCACATTAATATCTCTTTTATTTAATATTTGGATCAAATTTGAGGGAAATCTACTAGACAATTTAGAATTGACACTAATACTTAAAGAAAAAAATGGCCGATTTCCGGTTTTACCGGAAATGTTATTTATGCTACGTTTGAATATTCACATCGGATGCATCTGAGATGTAAATCTTTGATCACGTGATTCAATATACGTAAATGTAGTGGGACAGATGTGTCCGATGTGGAAAAACAAACGCTCGAGATGTAAAAAATGCATCGGATGTGGATATTCAAACGTAGCATTAGTTTGATGTTTGTGTTTTTTAAATCTACAGTTCAAATTGCATATTACGTGTTGCCAAAATTCAATTTTATTTTTTTATGGCAGAAGGCCATGAACTAGAAAATTACTCTTGTACATTTGTCCCGAATTTGATTCAAATCGTTTCATAACTAAAAGAGATATCAAAGTGGCCCTGGTCTCATTGTGACCCGGTATACGAGGTGATATTGATAAATACTTAGCCTATCATATAGAAAGCCACACTATTTTAAAACAAATTTGTATTTATCCCACATCATCTTTTTTAAGTCATTCATTTATAGTAATAATTGTAAGATCTTTAAAAAAATATTTGTTTTGTTATGCAAACCACTCCTCAATAGCACGCAAATGATCTCACAATTTGTCGAAAATCTTTTAAGTGTTTCTTAAATTTTAGGAACAAATAATAATCCTATGTTAGTATATGCGAAGCCTAGGTAGGGTTGCCAGATGTGCTACAAAAAAAAACCGGACATCCGGACAACCACATATCAAAAAAAAACTTTAAAAAATTATATATTTTATAAAAAAATATAATAACATGAGGTCAGATCCAGAACACAAAAATCATAAAAGTGCAAATCATACAAAAAAAAAAGTTTGCATATTTGGCATTAGATGCCGCTGCTTTTAATAAGTCTCTGTTGCCTGATATGTTATCTTTAAATTCAGTGCAACACTTTCTAGGGATAGACGATTTCTTTCGTCTGTCCAATTACTTCCCATAATGCTAAATATTCTTTCGACAAAGGCATTGGATATAGGAATGCTGCAAACATATTGAACTATTTTGAGCAAATTTGGTGCTGCTTCATTCCTGAAAAATGTACACCACATATACACTGTTTTTCCTTCAAGTGCAGGAAAAACAGTTTGTAATGCAGCCAGTTCTTCATACATGTTTTCAGGTGGGGGTTCCTGTTTCCAGGGAGAAATTAACCACAATTCAATCAGTTGATCCAGCGTAGGCAATATTCCAATTTCTAGGTCTAAACAACTGCAAGTCTTGAAATTATTATTCTCAAAAGGAAACCACTTCTTTATATAAACCAGAGCTCTTTGGTAAACATTTAGAACATTTTTCGTAAATTGTTTTGACTGAAAGTCTGAAAAATAGTTTATTCCAAAATAGTTTATTCCAATAGTTTATGCCATTATGTATTTTAATTCTAACAATAACATTTTTAATTTTTATCAAATGACACGAATTTTTATGAATTCAACAAAAAACCGAAGTTTTTTCAACCGGACATGCAACAGAAAAACCGGAATGTCTGGTCGAAAACCGGACATCTGACAACCCTAACCCTAGGGCAGACGTTGTCAACCAATTCAAAACCAATCTCGTAATTTTTTTGCATCGCAATCAACAAATGGTGAGTACAGGTATTGTCTTGCAAAAGACAACACCTTTGGCAAGTAGGTATTCCGCGGCGCTTTTATACAATTTTCTTGCTAATATAATTCATCGTATGATCACAGTGTAAAATGACATAAGTCAATAATGAAGTATAAAGAGGTTAGCAATGATTGAGTATATGCACATTAGTCTAAGTGCGATGTTAAACAGTGGGTATAATAATATAGGTCACACTTATGTGGTTTTACTTTTCTTGACTTATGTACCTACTTATTCCCACCACACGCAGAATTAGCAACTCAGTATAATATTATGCTCCTTTTCAAATAGACCAGAGCATACTGGCGCAATTGTTTTAATTCGTAATTTTTTTTTAAATGTCCAAAAGGCTTTCCTGATTATAAAAGTGTAAGATGACACTCGATATTTGTTGATGTTATTGTTTAAACAACGAAAAATTAATTAAGCCAGAAAAAATGTATTTTTTGCAATGAATTAATTTTTTTTTATATTCTTTAGGATACTTCGAATAAAAAAAGTCCTTGCGCTCATCATCGTATCTTCAACCCTTTAATTGTTATGAATTTTTTAAAATCCAAAATTGACGACAATTCTAATTTTCTTGAATTAAATAATATACCTTAAAATTTAAAATGCTATAATTTTAAATTTCTTACCGAATATTCAAACTATAATTAACAAAATTACCTAAATAAATTTTCAAAATTTTGTTTGTTGTTATGTTTTTTTTTACGTTATAACAATATGCTTCCTACACGCCACGAAGCCACATAAAAGATTGTTCACTAGTATTTTCATTAACAACAAATTAAATCGCACAGTCAAATTATCGTTTCGACGAAGAGTTGCATTTTTTAATTTTAAATATGTATCAGGTTTCGGACACTTCACTAACGCCTCGCCATGATCACAAAATAAACACTTTTTGTCGTCAGATAATTTAATTTTTTTGGAATTAAAGAGAACGACATTATTACTCAGAAAATTACACGACTGCAAAGTAAACCAGTAGATGTAGAATCGAGCAAGACTGATTAACAACTGAAAAATAATTTTCAAAACGAGCCAAAAATTCTAAGGTAGGGTTGAATTTTCTATTTGGAAGGTTGTAAAAATTGTTTATGAAGAAAAAAATAGAAGAAGAGTTAAACGTACAATTTTTTCAAAATACGAAATAATCCCTTTACCTATTTGTATTCATAGTGCAAAAGATTGAAAGTCATAAAAAAATTTCTTATTTATAGTACTTACTCTCAATATTAGAAAAAATGTTTTTTTCCTTATTTTTGAAATCATAAAATTTTATAACCCCAGTAAGTCTGCTATGTTCATTGTAACAGGTAGAAATTTTTCACAGATCACGACAAGTGCATTTGGACTTTTTATCGTATTAAAAAAAAAAAGATTGAAGAAGATTTTACTTCTATGTTAACTTTAATAAATAAAAAAGTTATCAAAAGTATCTAAAAAAGTAAAAAAAAATCACATGATACAAAACTATTAATCGGCAAATATAACAAAGTGTTATGAAAAATGTTAATAATATTTTTTTTAAACTTATTACCTCTGAAAAACAGCAAAAAATTGATTCAGCGCGTCATCGGGCTTTTTCTTACCCATCTTATACATTGAGTTGGAAGTGAGATAGAAGTACTTCTCTCTAAAAGTACACGCGCGTAGGAAGCATATTGTTATAACGTAAAAAAAACATAACAAACAAAATTTTGAAAATTTATTTAGGTTATTTTGTTTATTATAGTTTAAGTATTCGGTAAAAATTTTAAAATTATAGCATTTTAAATTTTAAGGTATATTATTTAATTCAAGAATATTAGAATTTTCGTCAATTTCGGATTTAAAAAAATTCATAACAATTAAAGGGTTAAAGATACGATGATGAGCGTAAGGACTTTTTTATTCGAAATATCCTAAAGAATATAAAAAAAATGCATTTTTTCTGGCTTAATTAATTTTTCGTTGTTTAAACAATAACATCAACAAATATCGAGTGTCATCTTACACTTTTATAATCAGGTAAGCCTTCCGGACAATTTAAAACAAAAATTACGAATTAAAACAATTTTGCAAACGAATGCGCCACTATGTCCTGCACTAAAAATGATTTATCAGAATTATCCCATCTTTACCCAGAAAACTGAAGCTCAGCTTCCCAATATTCTCTCGTATATAGAAATTGATTTCATATTGTTATATATGGCAATATGCACTGAAAATGGTCGATTGATCCATTTTATTAATTGATTTAGTTTCAAATTTTTATGATTGTCAACAATTGATATCGTTTTCAAGCTCAAAACAAACTTTCGCAATAGAAATAATCTAAATTAATCCTTGCGAAGTGATGGAGGTTTTATGAACCCATTAAACGATCGCATTGGCCAACAAAACATAATAAATAGCTAAATCGTGGTTAAAATTTTTTATGAAATGAAACATTACCCAACTAAAGTACCACAAAATGCAGCGTGACTCTTCCTTTGCCTTGGATTTGCATACATTATGGTAACAAAGTAATTAAAGTGTATTATATTAGAAAAAAAAAATGCAAATATATAATGGCTAAAAAATTATTATAAATTGATAAAATATTAGGAAGATATGTAATAAAACGATTATACGAGTATGATAATGTGATAAAATAGCAAAATTTTCGGATGACACTGCAATATTGGCAGTAGGCCGGAATAAGGCAGATACCCCAGAAAAACTTTAGGAAACCCGCAACAGAATCAATCGATGGACAAAAAGTGAAAACTAAATCAGTGCATGTTTATTTTGCTCTTCGGCAAAAAGACTAAAAACAAATAATAACAATGATGTTATTCCGTATGAAGTAAGTGTACGAAAATAGCACATAAAAACATTTGTAAAAAACTTGAAAAACTTAAAAAAATATAGTTTGACTCCCAGCAAGAAAATTCAAGCTGTCAGTGTACAATAAACTAAAATCATAAAACCAGTCTGAATTTATGGCACACACCTATAGGGGTATGCGGTGTGCCAGCAAGAACAATATCAACATGATACAACTTTTCCAAAATAAAGTTCTAAGATGCATCGTAGATGCACCTATGTTCTATCAAAATGATTATCTTCATAGAGACCTGAATATGCCAACAGCCGAAGAAGGAATAAA